ACAGCGCTCTGTCCTAAACAGTCGCTGATGCTCTTCCTGCCAAACTGCTTCTGTTTCCCTGTCAAATAAACAACATGCAAAATATAAAAGGCTTTGCAATGAATTTAATCTGATCACACAAACATTTTACCCACAAATATGTTTTTTCCCTTCTTACATCATGTACTTTCATCTGCTCAGTCATCCCGGGGAATATTGTTTTTCTTTTTATTGATTTATTGTTTATTTCTTTTTTGTATTGTTTGATTTTTATTGTTACATTTGTATGTTTTTTTAGTGCTCACACCTGTGGAGTTTATGGCCATGAAGGACACTGGCATCAGACAATTAGGACAGGCCTCTTTCAGCCAGAGGACTAAAAGGGGTTTGGTGGGAGGGATGAGAGACAAAGGGAGCTGCTGGAGAGAGAGTGGAGAGGCAGGGCAGGCTTTGCCTGTGTCCCATCCTTTGTAATGCTATAGACAGAAGTTTGAAACAGCTGGCAGTTCCAGCGAGTACTGCTCCACTAAAGTAAATCAAGTGACTGTCAGTTGTTTTCCAAGGTTGGGGGTGCAGCACTTGGCGAGGTGGCAAGTAGAGTGGTGTGTTTCTACTGTACATGAGCACTCAAAACACTTTAAAGAACAGGCTTCATGGAAATATGAAGGATGTTGTTTCCACAGAAATATAAGTATATGATTTTCTACGAATGCCTCGAATCTGCCCAGTAGTACCCACTTCCTCATACTCAAGCTGAAAAGTTTTGAAATAAAAAGTACCGTCACACAAGTTCACTGGAAACCTACGTTAGGAGGCACGTTTCCTCCAAGCTGAATCAGGGCATGATTCATCATTTCCAAGTTTCCCAAAAATGAGAACTTCAAAAGTGGATAGATCATGACATCTCTCAATATGAAAGTGTTGTGAGTTGAGTTAATTTGTTACTGCCTAGTGTGGTGAACTGTTCTGTGAGACCAGATTATTCACATTGTTTGGTGACTTTTCATTCCTTAAATTTTAAGATACCCAGATTTTCCAACTACGATGCGTCCGGTTAACTTTAGTAAAGAGAAGCACTGAGGTATTTGAAATGGTAAATTGCCTATATTTGTATAGCGCTTTTACTAGTCCCCCCTAGAGACCCCAAAGCGCTTTACACATCTAGTCATCCACCCATTCACACACTGGTGGAGGCAGCTACAGTTGTAGCCAGAGCTGCCCTAGGGCAGACTGACAGAAGCGAGGCTGCCATATCGCGCCATCGGCCCTTCTGGCCAACACCAGTAGGCGGTAGGTGAAGTGTCTTGCCAAGGACACAACGACTGATACTATCCAAGCTGGGGCTCGAACCGGCAACCTTCTGACTCCCAACTCTTGAGCCACGATCATACTAAATAAATACATACATAAATCATGTTAGAACAGAGATACAAAGATAAGTTATCTCTGGGCTGGGCTTAAAATGGGCTTAATGATGTAAGTATTACTCATCATTGTGCAACAAATCTGAGCAAGCTTTCGGGAACTAGACTAAGACTAAGGAGTTCATTGTAAAATATCTTGTTTCACTTCCCAGAGACTGTTGTTCTCATTGCTTCCCAGCAGTTTAATCGACTCTTTTCGCTAAGTTGTTA